AAACCAATGCTCCTGAAGACATTCAGGGTATAAGCTCTAAATATTTTCAGTGATACACAAGGCCTTCCATTCTTCACTGCAACCAACTCCATCTTATCTCTTGGCTTTCATCTACTACTTCTTTCCTATAATACTTCCCTGTCCAACCATGCTAACTTTTCTGCTGTTTCTAGAAATACTCAGCATGTCACGTATTAAAACCTTGCATGGATTGCCAACTCTGTCTGGAGCTCTCTTCCCTAAATAGCCACAAGATCAACTCATTCGCCTGTAAGTCTTTGCTCAAATGTCACCTTCTCGATGAAGATGAACTGGATGACATCATTTAAAATGGTAACCCCCCACACTCTCATCTTATTCTGTTTTTCCCCTTTTTTTTCCTTCATAACACTATCATTTCTATATCAACTAACTCTAAGTCATTTTCAACCCAACATGATGGAATTTAAATACCATAAAGACACAGGTCCCTGTCCATTTTCTTCATCGGAAACGACGCATGACACATAATAGATGCTTAATAAATATTTTTTAAAGAATGAATGAATCTTAGTTTTTTTTTTGAGGAAAAACAAAATCAAGTTCATCTTAGGAAAAGCTCCCAGCCAAAAATGACTATTTGCCTCTCTGTTGAAGAGAGAACCATTCAGAGACACAACAACAGAAGAGCATGGAGAAAAATGCACAGAATAATGAATAACAAAAACCTTAAACTTGAGAAAACAGAAAACACAAATTATCAAGCATTTACTGCATTTATTGAGTTTACGTCTGTGGCTAAACTCAAAGCAAGTGAATTCAAACAATGTGTTTTTACTTGGCATTTATTTATAGATCTTCCTTATATTATGAACAGATTTTTAACTTTACTTAAAAATGACCCAATATTGGGTAACAGAATATAACATTTACAAGCGGATCTTTTAATCTAAATTTGATATCAATCCAAAAGCAGTACCAACATTCAGTATATGAAGAATTGTATACAATTAATACTCCTTAGCAAATTGACTAGAGCCAAATTCTTTTCCATACTTAACTTGTAAAGATGACCAAATCTCTAAGTAATATCCTACATATAGTTTATCATATATCAATTAATCCAATTCTCCTTTATCAACCCTTACAGCTTTTTCACCAACATATCCAGAAAATCAGGTTGACCTTTACAATTTTTAATAATGTCTTAACATTTTAGAAAAATGGATACTGCTTTTTCCATAAGTCTGTTCATTAATATGTAGAGCATTTCTAATAAATGCTGAAAAACAATCAACACAATTCGCACATAGTGTAAAATTACAACTTAAAATTTTAAACTTTTGAAAAACTAATCTCATTTTCTTTAGCTGCATTTCTACTTTCTGAGTGTTTCTCCCTGTTTCCAATTAATTGGAAAATTTCAGGGTTGTTTCTATGAAAATTGGTATTGTGAATAATAATACTGCTGTAGTATATTCTCTTCATTTTGCTCCTTGTACAACAAAACTCAAATTTAAAATTTTGTAAATGAATAAAATAAACCAAGAAAAACAAATGTATTTTGATATCCATATTGGTCTTTCTGCAAGACTATTTAAAAAAAGCAGGCATTTATAAATAATTACTCCTTTTTCCCTCAGTGCTAGGTTAGTAGCAAAGAAAATATTTTAGGAAACAAAACTGAGGCATCACAGGGGAAAACCTGTTTCAAAAAACTTTATTTTAAAAGTTGGAGGTTTTTTTCCAACTGCTTATCGAGTGAGTCTTTCTGTGTTAGATTGTTCCCCAGAAACAAACTTCATCGTGATATTACTGTGATACTCTTTACAGACGTGTAATTTCAAGAGTACTGTCATTAAATAATTTTTCATGTTTTTTAACTTCAAAAAACAGTTGGCGGTTTTAATATCATTTAAATATTTGAAGACTGTTTAAAGTTTGACTTAAGGGCTTAGACGTCTACTCCAATATAAACATGTCTTCAAATAACATATGTTTTACCTGACAGTGTATTTGGCCTTATTCGACACCAATTTCCTTCTCATATAAAGAAAAATGACAGGCCACATTTTTTGTTAATTTTCTTATGTATCATAAATTAGAACTCATGATTATCTAGAACACTGGTCTTCTCAGGAGATGGATGCTGAAATTTTTAGGGGTAAAAGATGATAACTTCTATAATGTACTTTCAAATGGTATAGTCAATCAATCAAAAACAATACATACCCATATGTAAATAGACAGAACAAATGTAGTAAAACTGTACAATAGTTAAATCTAAATGGTGCATATGTGAATATTCATTGTGCTATTCTTTCAACTTTTTAGGTGCCAGAGAATTTTTAAAATAAACAGAAAGAAAACAATAAGATAAAATAAACTATTTCATTTATAAGAATCCTTATCTTACTCTTCCACTCCTCCAGGAAACAGAACAAAATGAACAAAAGGAAATACATCAAATAATTTTTTAGAGTTGCTTTTGTATGATGGATATGCGAGAATTATTCCTTTATCTTTGTTTTGTTCTAAACTTCAAATTTTCAAATTAAAAAAAAATCCTATCTTTACTTTTGGTCCCTTAAATAAATTATTTGCTTAAAGGAAAATAGTATTGTTTTTAAGATTAGATACGAAAATATCAACATTCTTTAAAATTTATATTTTCCATTTACACTAAGGATTACAACATTTAGCCATTTTGGAAAAAAGTCACAGATTAACATTCTTAAATTCTGATTAATTGTTATATTCATAATACTACAGAAGTTCTGTAATATTAAGTTCCATTATATTTGCTATGAAAATAAAATGGCTTGCAAAAATTTAGGAGTGAAATGAGAATCCAATTAGCAGAAGAGAACACTAGAATTTTCTTTCTGGGAAAAAATTGTCTCTGCTACTGGTAGAGTATAACTTCAACATTTAAAAATTACTTAACATATGACTCAAGTATAGTTCTAACCTCAACTTAGAAAATACAGCCTATTGTTACCTCCTAGGCAGCCAATGAATGAAAGCAGGATCAGCTGTTTCCATGACAACATCATCTTTAATTGCCAAAAGCAAGAGTAACTCTTGTCCAGTCTCTGATGAATAGACTGCTTTGTCTTCAGGTAAATCCTTTAATCTGTAAAATATATTTACAAAGAAGTCAGACTTGAAAAAACAAACTGCTTTAAAAAGTAGATTGTGTTCTTTTCATAAACTACCATTCACAGCCACTCAAAACCCTCAAAGTGAATATTTTTGATGCAAAAAGGATGTATGAAATGTACACACTTTAAAAAATGCTTTATGTAACTAATATGCAGGTGGAAGCAACTTCACAAAATCAGAAATGTTGAACAATACTAAAATACTCAATATTAGTATATTAAATAATGAAGTACTGCTAGATAGTAATTACAACAAATAAAACATTACCCTGAAATTCTAACTTTTCTCATTTCCTCTCATGATAACATTTTAATAAAACTAAAAGGGTCAAATCAGCCGGTATCTTGAAGCATCGCTTTTCATAGTCTCTGAATCCCTCATAAGGCATATAAACAATAAACAGCATTATCAATGTTCATCTTAAACCTATTTTTTCAGAGACAAATTGCAGAAAGCATCCAATTACATATGCTGCATCAAACAGATAAAAAATGCTAATGATGAAACTGTGCAGTCTGAGAATCTTGCAAATGAAACTATTTTGTTTTTTGCTTTCTTGAGTTTTCATCGACTTGAATGAGTAAATAATTGTGTGAATATTCTGTGTCATTTTCAGTGGCCATTTGAAACTAGTTAAACTGTAAGGTTAGTAATCAAAGTAGGCTAGATGCACACACCTAAAATCATAGAATCTTTTTTTGATTGCTGGTTCCACACAGGGGATTAACGACTTTACCATCAGCCATTTTGGCAGAGAAGGTGTCAGTCAGCAGCTGCTGTGGACTAGGCTGTCTTACCTGTCCTTGAGCAAAGGAAAGAAATCTCAGTGGTTCTCAGCTATGGGGTCCTGTCATGTGATGTGAGGTATTAAATTAGAATTAAGTGTGTCCCACATAATAATAATTTCAAGAGTGAAAATGCAACATCTTGCAAACTAAGTACCTAATATATTAAATCAGTTATTCTTACAGTAATGTTGTTCCTGTTCACTTGCAATATAATATGTTTTTGTCAAGGGGAGGAGTAAGAGATGGAATTGCAGCAGAATTCCAGGATTTAGGCATAACTTGGACTTGGTCCATGGGAATCTGGAACAGGTGGAAATACAATTGAGAACTACTCCTCTAAGAACTGCAGCTTAGCAACTTGCACCACCAAGGGGTCTGCGACCATTTCTCACTAGCCACATTACTACAAATTGCATGTGTCTTAGTTTGGGTTCCCCTTAATGCAAATACAGCAAAATGAATTCAAGTGAAAGCAGGTTATTTGAGAGATGAACAAACAAAACAAAACACAGGGTGTGGGGAGGTGAGAGGGAGAAAGGAAGGCAGCCAATAAAGGGTAAGATATAAATCCATCAACCCCTGTGTGTACGCAGAACTTACTCCTGCTGGGAAAATCCTGGAAGTCCAGTCTGTGTGGCAGGTATGCCTCAGGGTGATCCTTGAGTTATCCTTGAGTTGTCTGCTTACCCTTACCAAGAGGTAAGGGAGCTGGAGTATTCATATATCAACTTCCATTGGTCATTGTTTGGAGGCTTTTTTCAGTGAATATTAATTACCCAGTGCTTCTAGCCTCTCACTGGGGCAACAAAGTGTCTCCAGAGGCCAAAATTGCATATGGTGACAATTGCTTCAATTGTGCACTGAAGTAATAAAGGCAAGAGGATATGAATGAGGCGCATGTAGTGTTTGTTACACTGTGCATATGAAACTGAGACTTTTTGAAGTTATTTCAATAGCATCAGGTCCCAGGAGACTTATGGCCAGAATCGTGAAATGCTTTAAGTATACAAGGGAGGACACATCTTCTGCCTCATTCAATCATTATACTTCTCAAGCCTTCCCAGTACGTGATTTCCTCCACTTGGACCAAAGGCTTCAGATACCTAGACTTCCTTGCTGTATTTCCGCTCAATCTGTGAGATATTTTGTGTCCATAATTATTTTCAACTAGTAACTTGAATGATAACTGAAATCACTCTGATTAAACTTAAATCTGACAGCCATAACCACCATAACTTCCCTCTAATCATGCATGTGAGGAAACAGAAATCATGAGAATGACATACACACACACACAACACACACACATAGTAGAAAAGCAAACATTTAAAAAAACTTCCCAAATAAAATACAATGACAATTAGTCATAAAAGGCACTGGAAGCATCAAATGCAATGGTATGATACACGAAGTGTCCAATATTCATGAAAAGTTAAGAAGGTATATTAAAGTCTGAAGACATTGGGTGAGTCTCAAACACAGGAAAGGCTTGAGGAGTCTAACACTGATCGAACTGGCATCTCTTTCTTTGAGGAGTAAAAGCAACCCAGTTTATACATTAAATATACTTGGAAAGCATTTGGTAGTAACAAAATAATAAACTTAAAAAGAACAGGTTGTTGGAATTTTCAGGTAAAAAGGACAAACTTTAGCAAAAGGTCCATTAGTCACATCATCACAATCATTAAAAAGCACACAAATAAATACGTGAGAGGCTTTGCTCTATGCCATACAGAAGGCAAAATAAACGGTCTATGTTCCAATACTGCAAGAGGGAAAAAAATATTATAAACACAAATAGGATAAGGAGAAAATTACTAGACCGATATACCTCTGAAGGTGGGACCACATCTTCTCCATCACTGGTTGCTCCAATGTTCCCAACACTCTGTACATAATTTTAGGCTTTCAAGTAATTTTTCTTACTGAGCTTTAAGAACAGGAATAAGTCAATTTGGGAAGTTAAATGATTTCATTGGACATCAAGCGAGTGAGAAGCATTTCTAGTGCAAAGAAAAGATAAGTCATAGCATGATATCCAGCCACCATTTGAAAATTATTTCAGGAAAATGTGTAAGAAGGCGTTAAGAATATGACAACTTAAAAAATGTTGTCTTCACAACAATGCATTCTCAAAGTAACATGCCTATCAGTTACACTTACAAAGTGTAAAGGTGTTCAAAGAAGTTCTAAAGTCTTTTTGACCTGATTCGCAATGAACATTCAAATCAGACATATTACAATCTGTATTAGGCTTAAAAGGATGAAGAGGCAACACATTTTGCAATATACTAATTCCGTTCTTGCCTTCAAATTCACAGAAACCAGAGGTTTGACAATATTAACCAAACTATCTGATTTAAGAGAATATGTCCATTCTAATATTCTTCTGTATGCACACACACAGGAATACACTGTCTAAAGTTTGAAGATAAAAGGAAACCACATTCAGGAATGCTATTTTTAAAAATCATGCTGCTTATTTTTAATCCATGCTAAAGTAAAGCACTGACTTTACAAATGGTGAAAGTAATTAATACAATCATGACCTGACTTCTCAGCACTGCCAAGTATTGTTACAGAGTGAAGGGACACATAAACGCTCACCCCACTTCTGAAATCACCAAGCTAAAATAAATACAAAGGAAGCTACTGAAACAAGACAAATACAAATCAAAATGTCATCTGCTACAATAAAAATATCCTACTATTCACAGAAAACGTTTTAAATCAAAGAAAAACTACATGCCCTTTAGAATTTTCTCTGCTAATAGACGTTTGCATTTGGGGGCTAAAGCTTAATATATTCACAGCACGTTTCTCATGGCTATTCTTTAAATAGCCCCCAAATTTAGTACATATTGGCAACTGTACTATCTATTCTTAATGTCAGCTGAACTAAAAAAATGTTAGACCTCAGACTCAAAACCAAAAATGCTGTAAATAGTTGTTCCTGGTTGCTTTCTAAAAGAAGAGACCATTTGT